CTCATATCTCGGGTCTGTAGCGAAGGCAAAGTCCTTCTGCCCACACTAACCTTCCACAGCCTCTAATTATGTGAAGCAGAAATCCAAAACCTCACTTCATGCGCAGCCTTAAATCTTATTTTTTGTGTTTTCTAATCGGGTTAGCAGCATTCTGCTTATGTGATCAGTGACATTTGCCCGTCTGTCTGTTCAACCTGTTCTCATTCCCCGGGCATCAGCTACAACTGTTCTGTCAAAGACACCTGCGTCTCAGAGACACGTACAAGGTGTTCTTTAGCATCGGTGCCACCCACTGAAATGTTCCGCATCGATAGACATATAGGAGCCTATGCAGGTGAAAAGAGTTTCATCAGGATGCTGGAGAGGTGGAAGAACTCTATTTTAGAGGACTTTTAACAATGAGCCTCAGAATTGTGTCCTGTATCAGACTGTGATATTTTAAATCAGTTCCTTTTTTTGGTTTTGTTTGGTTAAGTTTAGGCACCAAAGCTACTTGTCCAGGAAAAGGTAATGATGTGAGGTACAAATGCACATTTTCACAACAGTAATCCCACATTACAAAGCAACCTTCTCATTACCGAAAAAGGAGCGACAGTAACAGCACCAGCTGGAAGCATTTGGCAATTTCTGACTTTCAGGGATTTTTACAGGCCTGTCGAATCCTGTGCATTAAACAATGGCACTAAAAGGTTCCCAGTGCGTTCAAATTTTCTGCCAAGGCCTCCTGACAAAGCAGCACAGTGTGAAAAGTTTGCAGTGAGACCAGGCTCATCTTTCAGTCAGCATTGGATCAGGAAACATCCATTAGATTTGGGTGCAGATTTTGTGAAAAATTGCAGGATGGTGCTTTGACTTTGGTGGAAGATGTCTTCACTGAGCCTCTAGTTGTTATTAGCACTTTAATTAATTGTAGAACATTTGTAAAAACGTAGAGGTGAGTGTGAATATGCTTAAATAAAAAAAAGTAAATAATAATTTTTAGAGAATTTTTTGTGCTCGCAGTCAAAAATAAAGTATAATCAGTATGAAATTGCCGCTGTTTGACAAGTTAAGAGCACAAATGCACTCCTGCGGTTTCTGTCCAGAACCAGCCACCACTTTCCATAAAATCCAGGCCTCTGAGCAGATCGCTGGAGCTAATGGCTAATTATGTGCTCTGAGCTAATGGAGAGGTTTTCCTTCATGGGATAATAAACCTTTACCTGCCATTACTTTTGCCTTTTATGGCACAAAAACAGCCTCATTTTGGTCCTCTTATAAGCTCTCTGCTATTCCTATTCAGGTGTGTGTGTTACTAAGAACTCGTCTTCTGGCATTTTAATCTTTAAAATATTTTAGTTTGACTCCACATTTCATTGTTTTGGTCTGGTGATATGTTTTCCACATCAACAACTTGCCTGTCATTTGCCTGATACGTCTTATTCTTTGTTGCCGCTCCAGCTGTTCGTATTAAAATCACTGAGCCCTTTGGTGACATGTTTTTTTGGTGGCACAAACATGGCCACAGGAAAATAGATCCCCAGTAAATGGGCTATTTACTCTTTTTGAGTAACATTTTGTACAATTAAACAGCCCTATAACATTCTTAAACCTATTCCAACATCGTCAGTAGCCACTCATCAATCACCTGTTCATTCTATTGTTGTGGTTGTGAGTGGTGGTGTACAGAACAGAGTTTTTTCTCATTTTTAGTCCACACATTTGGGGGGGCAAAACAATGGGAACACAAACATACAGTCAAAATATCACTAAAGCAAAGTCAAAAGCAGAAAAATTTCAAAATGTATTGGAGATCTAAAAGCAGAATTTATAGCAGAGCTGTTGTTTTGCAAAGATTGTCATCTTCAGTATAGAAAACGAGCTCCGTTGTGTTCCAGAATCTAATCTTTGAGCAACACTGGACTCAGAAAAACATCCTGCCAGAAAAATACTTACTGGAGCATCAAGTGAGTATAAATCTGCTGATAAGAGTATCCAACATACATACCCAGCATACCCAATATACCCATACACTTTATGTTTTTATCAGAGGTATCTTTGACTAAAACTGCAGTGCCCATCCAGTTTAAGAAATGATGACCACATTGTTGTTGTTTTTGTCTTGTTAGTGTGATCCTTTCATAAAAGCAACCTTAAAAGCATAGCTAAAGGTTACACTTCTCTGCTGTTATCATCGGTTTAATCATGTCTCTGCAGTTGTTGCTGGAGGCAGGTAGAGCCACAGCGATATAATTCATACTACAGGACATTCAGCTGTTATTATTTTGTGTGCTGCTCCGACACCCGACCTTGCTCACCAATAATTTTCCATAAATGCAATTACAAGGGTAGTTAAGCAAACGGGCAGTGTACTGTAAGATTGTGATGCATGTGCAGCTTCAGAGAACTCATTCCTCTTGAGTAGTGAGAGCCTGGGGAGATCACTGTGTAACAGTATGTTATTATGAGTGTGCTTTTAGTCCTCTGGGTGGAGATTTATATTAGTCATTCTGTGCTGCAGATCAGTGCACCCCTTCTGCTGCAATCTCCAGTCAAGATCTGCCCTCTGTATGATAGCCATGCACACTGTACGGGAGGATGAGACACGCTGCTTTATGCAACGGATTCAAGGCGTGGTTAACTGCTTTAAACTCAACTTGAAGGTCATGAAGTCAACTGACACTTTTTCTTGTCTTTGTCACCTTCATGTGAACAGCCCTGCGGTTTTGAGACAAAGCGTCTTCTGTACGTTTGTCTCAAGACACCGGCGTGAGAAGAAAAGCACGACCACATCGTGTTTTGTGTCAGAATACTTGAGTAATGGTACTTTCCAACCAGAGCTATTACCAGCTACAGTGTTAACAGGATGTGGTGAGCAAAGTGAGGGGGGGCGGACTGAGGAGGATCATCTCTAACAGGGTTTGCTGTAATTTTGCTCCTTCCCCGTGTTCCCTGGCTTACTAGTGCAGGGAGCTGTCACACCAAGCGTAACAAAAATAAGGTATCGCCTGACAGCTCTGACAAGATGAATGCAGCCTGTTGTTCTGTGAAGAAACAGCTGTGTCAAGCCAGAAATTAAATAATGCAGATGTGTCCCTGTGCCAAAAGTAGTTGTGACTGATTTTGTTAGGCATTTCCTGAGCTGTGCACTTGTAGGTTTGCCTTCTGGTCTCATTGGTTTTGCTATGTGCTGTTGTTTGTCCTGTTCTTGTCACGGTGGTGCATGCAGTGTCTAGTTTTGGGCTGATGACTCTTTTTAACTTATAGCATAGGGGGTAGACCTATATCATAAAAATTAAGACATGTACTTTAACTGAAAAAAGATTTGACTCACATTTTTGTATTACATCTCTTGAGAGCAAAAGTAAAAGTATGAAGTATTCCATAAAATTTAAGAACAAACAAGACAGCAACAGGCAACTTGCCACAAAGCCTGAATTAGTTCTCTGTAAGTTGGTTCAAAATGAAGCAATTATCAAAACAGTTTTCTTTTGAACGAGTAATTGCTGAGATTTAATTTCTTAAATATTCCACTCTGACTCCTAAAAACTATGTGTATGATCAAATGGTTCCCAAATACATTACTACTTGCTGTATTATTCTCAGAGGGAGGTGGTCGGGGTTGATGGTGGGTATACAAACACCAGGACTCTGTCTGTAGTTAGGTTTGTGCAACAAAAGGTGCTTTGGTCAATGTTAGGGACGGATGTTGTGTTCAATTAGATGTTGGTTAATGTATTTTGTCTCATGTCTTTGTTGACGTTGTCTAAGGTCCATTTCTGTGGTCCATACCCCTTCTTTTAGTTTTAGTCCCACTGCATCAATACAAATACATACATTTGGTATCATACGATTCATAAGTGCCTTGTCTTTGTAACAATAGCATAACTTGGACTTTTTATTTAGATTAAACATGAGCAGCTTTAAAACAAGCTGTCTGAAGTCTACTGTAAGTTGGGTCTAGCTACATTTTGATGGTGCCAGTTCCAGGAGTACAAATGTTTTATATTATTTATACAGATTTCTTTATATTTTAGGTGGGAAAAGATCTTCAATTCAGTTTTTCCAGACTTCAAAGGCCAACTGTTCTGTTCCTCTGACACCTCCACATGAAACTTTAGGGGATTTTCTTTCTGGCAGGATCTCGTTCATGCAAATAGAGTGGTTCATACAGCCTTTTTTTTTAAATTTTGGAATGTCATTTTCAATGTTCTAAAACAGGAGGGGAAGAGCTTGAACCAAACCACATTCATTTCTTACCATATAAAGGTTTCATAAAGCTATGATCACTATAAGCAGACATTTTGGTGGAAAACAAATGAAGTGGTGAACATTTGAATTACTGACTACATTTCCTCATTGTATTTGTGGTCTGCATTACATTTTCTTTGCTGTAAGCTTAATTACATTAGAAAAGACTTGGAATATTTAATTATTGTGCATTTAAAGGAAAAACAGTGGTTATGAACAAAACACCATGAACGCAGCTGAAAGTAAAATCTTGAAATATGTCATGGTTTTGGGCAACATTTGGAGACGTTGGAGGTGTTCGTCTATACTTTGCTGAAGAACACCTACGACCTTCCTTCGATTTTATGTCAAACTTGACAGACCTTTTGTGGAATGTCTTAAGTCTTTGCCATGTAAAAAAGAAGGACAGCAGGATGAGAATCTTCACTGGTCAGAAGGGTCAACTGTCGGAGCCCCCGATGCTGTGGGAACATCTGCTTTCTCTGTTCTGATACGACAGGCTTCTTTATATAGCCCCATGTACCAGTGAAGGGCACTTACAGGGGTGTTTTGCTCGTACAGATCATGGGAATCAATGTGCAGGCTGCTCTTACTGTCTTCCAGCGGAGTCCTCCCACAACCAGTCTGCTGATTCATCTTCTCCAGACAGACGGTGTTTAGAGATTCTGCAGGGCTGCCCTTTCACATAGTGTTGCTCTTTGTTTCCAAATAGACCCATCACTCCTCTGTGATGTGTCACCTCGTATTAAAATGAGGATCACAAACAGAGCTAGCCAGAATACGTATTTTATTAGGCAGAGAAAATACTGTTCAGAAGAAGAAAAAAAACACCAAAAATAAATTTCTGTCATACATCGATTCCTCTCACACGGCATAGGAAGGTCACTAAGTACATCAAAGAGAAAACAAACATCGCCAATCTACGCGTGGATGACCGCCAACGGGAGGTTAGATGGATACTGTAGCACAGTCAAAAGCACGGCATGGCTCAGGTGCTATTAAAGCAGAGCATGATGGCCTTCGGTGAGCACATCTGAGGCAGTTCCTGATTCTCCACACTATGAAGACACAGAGACAAGAGAGGCAGGTGGCACTGAAGTGGGGAAGTCTTTTTTTTTTTTCTTATTTTCGTTCTCTTGTGACAGGCAAATTAGCAAACATGAGGTGTCAGAGTGAATAACATCAGCCAAAAAGGTGGTGAATACACAAAGAAGACCGGTCCTCTGGATGAAGAGGAACATGAGCTTGAAGAGGGGCCTTGGCACTGAATGCAGCCACAGCCAAGTGATTAAAATCTCCTGAAAGAGGCAGAGAGGGAAGGCAGCTGGGGTCGGATTTGGCAGCTTGTTCTGACCGGAGCTCGGCGGACCGGTTTGGGAAGATGGGACCTATTCCACTTTTTTCCCATGTGAAACAGGAGCCGTTCCAAGGCAGAAGACCCTGCTTTGACTCGTAACACACACATGCACACAAGCCCCTTCAGACCTTCAACATGACACAATCAGACTAGTACACAAACATGCAGACTTATACAAAGGCAGAACTTTACAAAGTCATGCAGATGGAATGTTTTGATATTTCTGTAACTGAGTCTGACTCAAGTATATTTGGCTGACTGGCTGGCCTGAAGTCTATTCTTGTTAGAGGGGATTTATAGGGAACTACCATAACTCAGTCTAGGCCATCAGTGTGCTCCTGGAAAAACGCAACCACGTCAGTCTTTTGATGAGGAAAGAAAGAGTGAAGGGGCTTTACAAAGCTGAATATAAGTACTGTGTTTTCCTCAGATGTCTTTTAAAATTCTAGATGAGAACCCATCCTTGTCTCTGAAGGAGGTAGCCTGATCGACACTTAATTCCACAGGACTTCAAAAAAACGTCTTTCTTAAAACACATTGGAAAGATCATCCTGAGTACAAACACTTTTTAGATGAGTCATGTTGATTAGGACAGCCTGATAATTTGGGAAATATCTTTGTTCACGTGTTGGATGATGTTGACGAGATGCTACTCATGAATGTCTGAATAGTCAGAACATGGCGGTTGAAACAGCTAGCCTGGTTCTGTCCAAAAGTGACAAAATAAACCCACCAGCACCTCCAAAGCTCACTAATTAACATGGAAATGTGTTTAAACCAGTGATTTCTAACTAAGGGTAGAATGGATACGCAATAAGATGAAGAAAGTATTTTTCCTTTAGTAAAGAAATGTCCACATTTTGGGTGAATATAGGTCTAGCAGGAACAAGTGAATGAAAACTGGTTAGTAAGGGAGTAAGAAATAAGCTAACTGATGCAACACTAATGAGCAAGTAGTTAAATATAGCTTCAAACTAAAGATAAACAAACTAAAATGAATGGATAAATGAGCAACCACAACAAAAGGTATGAATAAACATTTGACCTTGTTAGTTAAGAAAATTAGCATAAATGACGGAAATACAACAGCTAGCTAAAATAATGGAAAAAATGGTGGATGGATAAACAGGTGAAATAGGTAAAAGTCATGGATAATGGTTGAAAAATACCAGATGAAAGTAATGAATAAACAGTTGACATTGCTAGCTAAATGTTATGGGTAAGCAGTGGAAATACAGTAGATGCTAAACTACATGAAGAAATGGTGGAAATAGCCTGAGATAAACTGTCCAAATATGCCAACGTTATAGCTAAAGAGCAGAAATACTTTCCCACAAGTTATGGATAAATGGTGGAAGAGCTAAAAGTAATGAATAAAGGTTGGGAGAACAGCTAACAACTTAGCTTGTTAGCTAAAACCAATGAGCAAATAGTTGAGCCAAAAGGCTAGTAGCATGATTAAACAATTGACCTAGTTTGCTAATAAAATGGGATAAGTGGTGGAGATACACTAGCTTGCTAAAAGCAGTAGAAAATAGTGGACAAAGATATGGATCTACTGTGAAAACATGTAAAAGTTACGGTTAAAAAGTGTGAAATGTGAATGCTGGAAACCCCTCACTGGTTTAATCTACAAAAACACTGAGATGTAAAAAAGGCAGACGGCAGTTTGACAGCCTGTTATGTGCTTTTGTGACTGTTTCTCAACCTGGAGTGATTTTTTTAATCAGAAAATCTTAACTTTTTGCGTGTCCATTTCAGTGCTTGTATAAATTTCACAGAGAAGCCGTAACGTGTATATACTGGAGGTGCTGTAGACAGATATTGTTGCTGTCAGACAGATCCACGCTAGTCCTGTTCCTAGCCCACGCTAAGCTAAGCTAACTGGCTGACAGGTGTAGCTTCATGGGTAGCATAGACTTTTTTCAAAAAGAACAAATATACATCCCCAAATATCAAATCTTTCCGATTACAATATCTAACTGAAATGATTTAGATTTGCAATTAACTTTTTTCATTTACTTGATTGTTAAAGTATTTTTTTTTACAGTCAAATCACAAAATATTCCACCAAAGTTCACTTTTAATGATAATCATGGTTTTCCCTTCTGGAGCGCTTCAGAGAACCCAAGCAGCTCAACAGAGGAACTGATTTGAACATACAGTATACTCATAAAGAATGATTAAACTCACAGAGATTGGATTTTGCTCTGTAAACTAGACTAATTCAATAGAAGAGATAATCATGGCAAATGTCTTAATTCTACGAACACAAAGATGTAAACTCAAGAACGACTGAGGCGAATGCTCATCCATGTTCTGGCAGTGAGAGACACTGTGATCGGACGGTCCAGACACAAACAGCACGATGCCACGCTGCTGCTGCTGCAACCGGTCAGGCCAAGAGGAGGCGGTCGCCGGCGTCGCGTTGGGCTCACAGGTTCTCGTTGGTGTCGTGATGGCACTGGCTGTCAGGCGAAGGGTTCAGGAAGGGCAGCTCCTCGCCGCAGCCCTGCAGCTTCAGGACCCGACTGCTCAGATCCAGGCAGCACTAAGAGGAGGAGTCACGGGGTGAGACATAATTAGTCCACTAAATATTTAATACGGGTCAGGAACTGGAGTTCACAAGATAGTCTGAGGGGTCGGGATAGGATGCAATTCTAAATATATATGCTGTGGGACAAAGTTATGAAATACTGAATAGTTTAATGTCTTTGGTCATCTGAAAATATTTCAATTTAAACATTTGAGAAGAAAGAATAACTCAATTTGTAGAATATTAAACCTGTTGTGGATGATCATAAGGCTTTTAAAGGGGATACGAAACAAAACTGTCGAGTCCATCAGTCTTAGTTCTTTGTGCTTATCTCTTATAGAGCAGAAACAATGAGTCACTGGATAGAAACGACCACAAAAATCATCAAGTATTTATTCAGCAAACATACTAATAATGCTTTGTCAGCATGTTCTCAAGTGTGAGGTTTTGCTGCTTTTCTCTCTTTTAAATCCTTTTGGAATTATATGAGTGGATTCAACCAAAAACAAGCCTCATAAGACATTACTTTGAGAAAATGTGACTTTTCATGTAAGATATCCAACAAATACCCATTACATCATAAAGTAATCAGTATGACACAGTAATGACAGTAATAGTCACTAATCCTGTTGCCCTTGATATCTTAACAGAACTGCGTGAATCATATAACAAGGTATTAATGACATATACTGTCAGTTATACCCCTCATAGTCTGTCTTTATTGTTCCTCAAATTCATTTTATTCACTTTTCATATGTGATCAAGCTTTCACTTCTTGCTCAAACTCTTTTTTTGATTTACTGATTTACCAAATTAGAGCTCATTACTCAAGAGCATCACTTTATCTTCAGCAAGTAATATCTTCATCATTCTTCCCGTCTCCCTGCCTGTTCGAATTTAACTCAGTTAAACAGATTATTATTTCACCTACACATCCGGCTAACATGCCACAACCTTAACAGCATACATTTTCAGTCATGTTTGTGGCTATTCACACACTTTCCTTGTTTGTTTTACTCTGATAACTCTAGAGCAGGAGTGTCCAGTCCTGGTCCTCTAGAGCCCCTATCCAGCATGTTTTAGATGTTTCTCTCTTCCAGCACACCTGATTCACATGATCAGGATCATTATCAGGCTTCTACAGAGCTTAATGATGAGCTGATCATTTGAATCAGGTGTGTTGGAAGAAGGAAACATCTAAAACATGCTGGATAGGGGCTCTTGAGGACCAGGATTAGACACCCCTGCTCTAGAGGGAAGTACCTGGCTCTGGAACTGCTAAAAAAAAAAGTCACTATGTGTATGTTCAGAACTTCTTTGCTGTAAACAGCTGCCTGCTCCAGCAGAAAATGTGATCCTGTCTCACTAAAATACATTCCTGTACTGCATTCCCATTTAAGCTTAGAGAGAAACATATTTCCTCTCGATAGATAAGACCGTGATGTTGGAAACGCTTCCAGTTTGAGAGAACACAAGGTGTGAGTCAGCAGGAGGGAAGAGAGGCAGGACTTTAACCCAGCAGAGCAGGGTTCATGTCCCATGTGGGGCAATTAAACTTGAATTTAATCTTCACAGTTTCGTTACATTTACGCCTGAAATTATTTGGTTGGGTTTAGAAAGATGTTGATTAGGAATGTAGTAGAAATAGATTTCCCTCTCAGCACATTGCAGTTCAGTTGTATACAAACAGGATTTTTAGGAGGCAAAGCTGAAAAATGACACTCTGAACCTGAACTCTGAAGACTGAACCAAAACACTGAAGTTGCAAGCTGGAGAACCAAAACAATGAAAACCAGTAATATGCTGTAAAGCTAATTAGAGCTGAGAGAAACTGCAGGCAGGAGATAATCCTCTGTGTTTTTGACTATGAGCAACACCATTCAGCATGAAGTTATAAAACCTGACAAATGTAAAATTCAATGAATAAGTGAATTTTAAAATGACATTTTTTTTGCGATATAAATAGAATGACTCAACATAATGATTTATGGAATCAGGAATCTGTTTTTTTTTTGCAATCTCCCTGTTTAACAGCATTTGTGCTACACCTCTGCTAGTGTACGCCGCTAGTCTTAATTAATTTCTAACACTGCCTACAAAGAAAGTTGCTGAGAAAGCTAAGTATAGGAGGGAGCCTGCAGCTAAAATGTTCATCTTACCTCACAAAGTCCTGAGGGGCTGATTTACCAAATTAGAGCTCATGTTCCTTTCACACCCTGAAGTCTCATTCTAATTAGAGTTTTAGAAGATAAGTAGACACAGCGTATGTTTAACAGAAATAAGAGGAACATTACCTGCAAATCGTCAGATCGTCTATTTGTTGGATTTAAATGTCATTTTTCACTGAACATGTTCACATCACAGTGTTCTGAATCTGCTCTTATCTGGGCTTTATCGGCACAGCAGGCAGCTGTTCCATTAAAATAACACCACCGTCCCTTCCCCTCACACAACACCACATACAGTACAGCTCTTTTTAAGATTGTACACTTGTGCCTCCATCTTACCTCCTGAAATGTTCAGTTTCATGTGAGTGTTTTTCCTTCTCCTTCCCTTTTGCTTATTTAAAACCATGCAGCCATTTCAGGGCAGCTTTAATAACCCACACACCAAAAGGCACACGATAAGGCTCACAAAATATCCGAAAAGCAAATGAGGACCTTACTTTAAGTTCCAACAGAGTCTGAAGACCCAGGCACAGCTCAAACGCCTCATCCTCTGAAAGTGAAAAAAGAGAGGAGAGATAAGGGCAGAGGGAAGGAAAGGAATAAACTGAATTTCATAACTGCATTGAAAAGCCACTCTGACTCTCATTCATTAACACCCTCATCTGCATATGAATACATCAGCATGAATCCAGGTTAAATCATCAACATAACTAAAGTGTCTGCCTTGTGATAATGAGCACTGTTAAGCATGTCTACTGGTGAGGCTGGCTGTGAGCTCAGAGGTGGAGAAGGCTGGAATTATCTTTATTAAAGGTGTGGTGGAGTTAGTCACTGCTGTAAATGAACTAAGGAGCAGGTAGACACAGGAGCTGCAACATAAATCAGAGTTTGTCTTTTATCTTTGTGAGGACCAAATGTCCTCATAACAAGGGAAAGACAAAGATAACTATTCAAAGTAAAGACATGGATGCTGTAACATTCCCATGTATTTGTGGTTTTGGGCTCTTAAAGGAACACTTTGTCATTTTAAAAACGTTTCTTGCAGAGATTTATAAACTGAAGCGTTGAAGTCACTCTCATGTCTGTTCACTGATATGAAGCTACGTCCCAGATATGGCTCAAGCAAGCAGATATGAATATAAACTGGTCGTGCGGCTTCTTTCTAAGGGGTCGACTGATATGTTCCATAACAGATACCAAATATTATTAATGGTGGAGACTGATACCTGATATTTGGAACCAGTAAATTTTTGTAGTAAAAATGAAAATTCAAAACACAAATCACAAACTCCAACGCAAAACAACGCAGAAAAGAAATGCTTTTAACTAACTTTTCAAATTATCCTTCAGTTTTGATAGGTTGTTAGCAATATGATAATGCTCAGCTCAGAGCCACAGCGGTGCAATTTTAAATGAATTTAATTTATTAGGCAAAAAATAATAATAGTTATAAAATGGGAAATATCAGCTCTAATAATCAACCATGCTGATAATCAGTGAATCCGTGCTTCTTTCCCATGCTAACGATATCATATCATAGTAACACTTTCAGATTTAGAAATAAAAGTATATACAACCAATTTTTGGTTAAAAAAAAATAAAAAATTTTTAAAATTACCCTTTTCTTTTAGACTTTATGCTAAGCTAATCACCTCCTGGCTTCATATTAATTGTGGCAAGTATTACATTTCCCAAACTGCCAGTTAGCACCACTAATTAACATATTACATCATTTTGTGCAAAATGTTAGGATTGATCCAATATCATGTTTTAAAGCTGCATTCAGTTAACAGGTAGCGAAGGTTAAAACTGAAAAAGGGAGAACAGTTTTCAAGTTCTTTATGGTCAACATGGCTAGCTGCTTCCTCCTGCATTCTAGGCTGACTGTGTCCTCTCTGTGCCCTCATATGAACTGTTACAGCTCGTTAAATCGATCAATTTCCTGAAATGCTAAAGTGAAACACAAATATGTTTTTAGAAGCATTCTCATAAAAATTTCTATTTGCTGAAACATCCGTGAAGGAACGCATCTTTCCCAGGAACATTCTCATCTGCACACTGAACTGAAAAACGTTAACCACAAATCTGAAGGACAAAGAAACAAACAAACAGTCATGTGAAGGAAGGCGTCCTTAAAAGCGAGGCGACCTTTGTCATGACAAAAATAAACTCTGGTATTTGCTTCCAGAGATGGAGAGGGATGCAAAAGGACACAGATGATGCAAATCAAGCTTTTTTTTTTCTCTCCCTTCTCTGGATCAGTGCCTCCACCACTGACCGCTCATCACCAGATGACTTCATAAAAGTCTATAAAAACATCATCAGTCAAACGAAGCTCCTCAGCACACGTCTTCAGTCCTTGTGCCTTTAAGAAGTTTAGTTCCTGTTATTCATCGTCTCTCAGCCATAATGACTGTCTCTGTCTGTGATAATTATCTTCCCACTTATTCTTTTTCTGCACCCGGGGATTTTTCTTGGAAAGACCTGCTTGACGTTATTGGAACCGCAGATTTGAAAGCTTTCTGAAACAGTATATTGATTATGTTGCACTGAAAAAAGTAGTAAAACAGGCAGAAAATATGGTAAATTAATGCATGAACTTCTACTTGTTTGCACATTTCTCCTGTTCCTTGTAGTTTTTTGTACATTTATGCAAATCAGTCCTCAGGTTTCTCCACAGGTTTAGAGTTGAGCCATGTGATGGAAATAGTTGGTCCACAGCTATCAGATGGATGACGTTGAAATTTGATGTGTGTGGTTTTCTGATCCCCTGACGTGTTGTCTGGACAACACAATGCGTTCAACATGTTTGTCTTCAAGTGAAATATGATCACGCTTAGGTTTCCTGTGAACGGTAATGTGAACTTAGGGTTAGAGTCAGGTTGTGTTACCGGTGTGCTGCCAAAAAGGTGACAGACGTCTGTGCTGCTCAGAACGGCAGAAGTTTCCTGTTCATATACATTTACAGCTACTTCTATGTGGGTCAAACAGCCATCAAGAAATGATCTTTTTTTCAATTATCCTCTAGTCTCTGTATTACTTTACCTGCTCTGTGCCCTACTTTATGTCCAATCCAGTTGCTTTTACAGGTAGAAATAGCTTGAACGGACTAATTCAACTTGTATAAGGACTAAAATGTTAATAATAGATCAAAATGACTTGATCTCATCCAAGAAGGCTGCATTTTAAAGTTTATATGGATAGAATTTCTTGATTTTACATAATACCCATCCATAAATCATGTCTATTTCAGTCTAGTTTCCAAAAAAATAAAAACTAAAAGTTAGATGTACCAAACACATGCAGCCATAGAAACATCAGAAACAACACTGTAGTTTTGCATCTTGCTGTCAGCCCGCGTACGCTTCAAACTGCAAACACTTCTTTGGTCCTAAGAAACGTAAAGCTCAGCAGTAAAGTTTCACAAAGCCTTTGCTGTCACTACAGACATAAAGTTCTGTGTATTTGCACATGATGACTATTTGACCCAAGCAGCTGCAGATGTGTAAAAACAGGATGATGCAAACTGTGACCTCCCACAGATGGCCATCAGTTGTTGGCATCACTTATTGTTACAACACTGGCCAAGCCTTCTACTTACAGAAGATGGCTCTTGTGGGTAATCTGGGTGTGATGAGGGTCCAGTGGGCCCCTGCTGTGGGACCTAAGCGCCTCTCTTTGCTATGTTTGTGTGAGAAGTAACATTACCAACACTGAGCCGCCATCTCTGTGAAGTGCATGCTGACAGATGTGATCAACATTCTGTAATCAACCATAATGTGTGTATATAGCACAGATTTCAGTTTAACAGCCATCCAGATGTTGTGCATCATATTAGCTGCCACCCAAAAGGTAGGGTAGGCCTGGTTACGACACTTGGTGCTTCTCTAGCGCTTTTCATCACCACAGAATTGGCCCAAACAGTAAAGGCTGGTCAGCAGCTGTGAGTTAGGCCACAGTCAAGACACTTAACCGTAAACCTCAGATCCTTATGCCACAGTTAGAAGCCATGGATCTGGAAAGGTAATACTTGCCTGTTTTGTGTATAAGTGATCATGATGCACTTCAATAACACATGTTGGCAAACGTGAAACTGTAGCTACTCTGTGCACTGGGGTGGGTGAGTAAGAGGAGAAACAATTGTTCAGAGAAAAAAAAAGTAATAAATGTCAACTAGCCCATTTTAATTAACTTTGACATCTTGAGAGTGTAAACACTGTTTATTAGTAATTGGTATGCTAACATGCTAAACTGAATGGTGCTTAATGTCATACTTGTGAAACATTGCAATTGGGAGCCTGTTAGCTGACATTAGCATTCAGCTCAAAGCACTGCAGTGCAAAGTGCAGCCTCACAGAGCTGCTTGCATGGATGCACACTTTTGATCTAGGAAATTCACATCAATCAAATGCTTTTGGTTTATTTCGCACTGTGTTGCAACCATAGACTGTATAAAAGATGGACGTAGCAACCGGCCCTGAAAAATGAAGCCAATCCGGAAGTGTCAAAAACCTGCAATATCACTACGTCCGCCAGCTGCTGGCTCCAAAAGGCCCTGGCTCCCATAGACTTGAATTGGAAAAGAAGTGATCACAGATCATGAAATACTGCATTCCTACAGTTCAGGATTTTTTTCTTATTAGTTTTCATGGTCAAATCCAGAGATCAGGTGGCCAATCTGAAAATAAATCAACACTGAATTTTTAAAAAATCATCAAAGGGGCAAGGGGCGTGGCTGGCTTGATTGACAGTCGGCAGCGACCATACAGACGAAGCGAGCAGAAGGTGGTAAATGTGGGCGGGCAGAGAGGGCCCGCCTCTCAATCCGTCTGACCAATCGCTGCTCCTATGGCTCCGCCCCCCTCCGACGATTTTTGCGTCACTGGCTCCAAAAATCCAAGATGTCAACCAGGAAGTAGCAAAACCCTGGCTTCATTTTCTCAGTGCAGAAACCAACGGGTGACGTCACGGTAGCTACGTCCATTTTTTATACAGTCTATGGTTGCAACTGACATTCTTACCTTTGACATAGGCTGAACACCGGAGCGTCTGCCTGCCCAGCTGCAGCTGCAGATCCGTCACTGAGCTGCTTCCTCCACATGGTGAACTGGGCACCAGTCTAACAACACACAGACACACACTGTCACTAAACTATATCTGCAATGGTTCAGAAACCTTCTCAGATGTGTCGTCTGAGCAGCTGGAGTAGCTGTCTCCCAGAAACTGATTCCTCTTATGATGAATTTCTTCAGCTTTTTATTAAACTGTCAATCAAAAGTTTGTGCAGCTGAGATTTATTAACTGGGATTATGAAGACAAACATCAGTTTTCTTTTACTCTTTACAGATGATTTGAAATTAGGATAGGAGCTAAATATAATTTCTTTGCCACAGTCTTCAGCTGGAGTCCAGCCACTGTGGTAAAGACTGAGCTTTATTTAGCTTTTTAACGTCTTTTATTAAGATGAAGGTGACGTCAAGTCATATAAGATTCTGGAGAAACTGTGTTAAAAGCTTATACGCTGTCTTTATTAAATCTCCCTTTGAGGCTTGATTTTAAAATTCAATTCCTTTACTTTCTTTTCCTGTAATCTAATCTTTTCCCCTGCGTTACTCTTTTCTTATCTCGTCATTGTTTGTATTTGGTTGATTTGTTTGTCACAGCACTTCATAAAGTGCCTACAAAGTGTATTTGCAGATTAGAGCGGGAGGTTTCTTACCCCAGCCTCTGGCAGCAGGAGGTGGAGATGTGGTTATGTTGGCTGCCAGTGTTGATGGATGCCTTGACTTCAGCCTCGCAGCACTGTGGGGAAGACAGAGGGGGGATTTTGGTGTTACAGTGTGATTTCCCCCTTTGGTCTGGCACTGCCACACGCAAGGAGACACAGTAGCACATGCACACAGCTCGAGGCAGCCTTTGAAAGCCACTGATCTCTCCTCTTTTGAGCAAATCCCTTTGGCTGCTGTGTGCTCACGAAGCTGCCAAACTGAAAAATAAAGTCTACTTGAACTGTTAATCAACTCAGTTCAAACAAACAAATCTTCCATTAGTGGAGTGTTTCCGACCTGAGCCTTTCTTGGAGTCGGATGCTGTTTTGTGTGTAACCTGATCTGTATTGATTCTGTCCTGCTGCAGGTGTTTGGTTGAGCAGCCTCACACTCACTAATCAGGTTAAAAACAAACCAACAGGGAAACTCTGTATATGATTACAGACCACATGAGCTGTTTTTTTGTTTGTTAGCTGATATATTACTCATGTTGCTGACGGAAGATGCTGATACTTTAGTTTGTTGAGTGCACTTTGATTTTTGGACTCATGCATCACTGGAGCATGAAATATTAAGCAGTGAGTCATATGTGTGCGTTCACAACTCCACAGTGGAGAGGAACGTCTATGTGATGTGATTTATGGCGGTTCAGGTTCACAGTTTGACATTTGTCAAAACTTTTTATTTAAATATTATCATGTTAAAAGCTACGTCAACAAACGTGTACTGATTTGACAGATAATTATGAGCAATGGATTCCAACAAGCACGACAGAGTGTTTTAGTGAGTTTCATCTTATTATTCATCCCTCGACTTTACTGTTTTGGTCGTCTGACTCACTCGCTGTAGACTCTAAGAATAAGATTGTCGTTTCTATTGTGCATTCTCCTTCTCTTCAACTATGCCCATATTCCCTCGCTTTGGGAAAGAGCAACAACTACACGCTGAAAGCTACAAGTTCTGATAAGAGCTGCAAGACTAGGATCATGTAATAAGACAGGTCTGCTTGGTTCTTAGTCATTTTGATGACAGTGATCGTTTCACCACGTGCAAATGTTCCACCGAAACAAGTTCCTCCAGACACTAGCAGTACATCCTGGGCTTCACACACCCAGGACTATTGTAATTGGATTAAAGAGATACAAACAAAAAAGTGCGTTTTTCACCATTACCAGAATGATAATCACTAAGAAGGTGGAGGCTAAAAGTAAAGTAAACGTTACTTTTTCAGGTGACAACAAATAGAACGTTTCTGCTGGATGTTTCATGTTAGCCACTGTATGCTAACGTGTTATTTATGTTCACTTATAAAGTAATAATACCAATTATTTTGCTCCAAAGTGCGCCAAAAAACAATTATTGCAGGCATAAAGCAATAGTTAAGCAGCTAAAGCGAGGCTTAGCTTAGCTTAGCTTAGCTTAGAGGAAAGAAACAAGAAACTGAAAAAAAACTTCTGCCAAAGTTAAAAAAAATACAACCAACTCATCTAAAGCTGACTAATGAAGATTTTATAATAGTTTGTTTTATCTGTTCATAAATTTTAGCGTGAAATCCACAGTTTTCTCGTTCTTCTGGTCTACATGCTACACCGCGCTAACTGTCTTCTAGCTGTGTTTTGTATTTATGTCACCAGCTGTATCTCATTTCGCGCCTAGCAGGAAAAAAAAAAGCAAATGAACATATTTCCCAAAGACCTCCTCACTTCATGTTTCACTGACTGTTACAGTAGTGATGCTAGTAGGCAGCTTGCCTTAATTTCCACTGACATTTGTCTTCTTTATCTCACAGTTGCTCTGCTGCCTGCAGGGCTCCTCGTGTCACAAAGTCGTGTTTAATCCACAGTGCAGCAGATTGTCAGGCTTTATGGGAGCTGTTGTCTCTGAAGGGCCTTTCTATTCAGCATCCCCAAAGTTCACATCATACAACCTGTGCACGAGTAGAAACATGCATGTATGTGGAGTAGAAATAAAGCAATGAAATGAAACTGAAAATGTACAGAACATATGGCAGCTCTGCATGCATGTGGTATAAGCAGTGTGCTGCACCACCCCCACACTGTTAACTGACTGTCTGATGATGCATAATTTAGATATTTTTCCACCATAATTTTCTTTTATCGTTGCCTTTTTCTTTTTTTACTTTCGGATAAACTACAGCAACAGTATGTTCTTAGTCACGTTGTCTGGTTGAAATATATTTGAGGAATTATAGACTTCAGAGCTGCAAAATTGGTAAATTAATCAACTTACATGTTAAATCTGCAGCAGTTTGGTTAACAGTTTTTAATTCAAGTATCTTTTATATGAAGAATGGTATTGCTTTCACCTCATCAGTGTGAATATTTCTGTTTTTTCTTACTAATCTAAGACAGTTAAATAATGTGATTTATGTTTTGTGCTATTAGTTGAACAAAAGAAGACATCTGAAACATTACCTGGCATGAGCAACTGTTCACAATTTGCTGACATTTTCTGGGAAGCATAAATTGAGAAAATAATTGGTAGACTTAAAGTTAATAAGTATTAGCTGCTGTTTTTAATGGATTAAAGTCAGGCAGAGTAGTCAAAACGCTGAACCTTGAGTATCAGTATCATAATCAGGTGGCTTAAATTGATTCAGCAGATATTCAAAAACACTTAAAATCTTCATCTGGCGTGTATTTTTTAAGTGACGGCTTAAAATTGGATGGAAAATTCTAATCTTATGACTGAGGACCTTTTTGTTGCCTCTTAATAAGACATTTTCTAACACACTCTGGGATTTTTACCGCCCAGCACCCATCCAGCTTCCATAGACCACGTCTGTGTATCCTCCTCTCCACGTCATCTCCTTCATAAATCAATACCTTATCCACTTGACCCGAGGATATTTCCCCCGTTGGAAATAAACACGTTCAGTTTCCATGTACCTCGTTTTGATTCGTCTCGCTCTGTACAGCCTGAGTTGGCTGAGCGAGCCTCCTTTGTCCTCGCAGCCTCACCAGCTTATCAGCAGACCCACAAACCTGCTCTTTTGTCTCAGTCCTGGCGGTGCAAAAATCCCTCTCTATCCCTGAAGTTTAAAAATAGCAGGCGGATGAGTAACTGAGGAACACTTTGCATGTAATAAGTTGATGATAAAACCCAGCAAAACACACTGAGTAACAGGGGAAAACGCTGAATCCACTGGAAAAGTACATTCTGGTTTTAAATGTGTTCACACATGCAGAATTCACAGGAGCTGTGCGACATATGAAGACTACAGGGAACAGAAGCTGTTTGATCACGATATCGATTTCTGTCATAGGATCAAAAAATGAAAATAATAACTCTGTCTTTGGTGTCATGCATGGCTGCAGTTCTCTCTAATCTGAATAATCTGAATTCAAAAGGCCAAAACATTACTTCTGTAGCCCCTGGTTGTGCATTAGTTGTGTAATATTTTGCCATAAACCATATGTATCTGCAAACTACTGTCTTTGTTGTTGATTAGACTCAAATCCAACACTGTGGTTCTCTAAACTTTACAACCTTCTGATCTTGCTCGTAGCGCTCATGTCCATTGTTTTGTACCGAAGACATAACTGTTAAAACAAATACATGCTTATTGGCTTAAATGTCACCAATTTGTTGGCTCACTTTTGTTAGTTTAGATGTGCTTTTCACAAATGAGCATCAAGGATTCAGGCTTTGAATACAGAGTATTAATAACTAATAAGAGAACTGGAACATTTAAAAATAGCACTAAACCTAATAAAATAATAATATATAATGAATAATGATAGTAAAATAGAACAATACCCACAGGAATGCCTTAAAATAAACAGTGCTGCAGCTAAATCAATTAATGTCTCATTTATTTTTTTCAATTAATCAATTAATGGACCCCTGAGGCAGCCGCTGTGCTGAATGGGGATCCAAGTAGTTACACAAATGAATCACTTAGTCTGTAAAATATCAGAATAAGCTGAAAATGCCAAAGTGAAGTCTTTAAAATACAAATTTTAGCTGAATCAAAATTCAGAAACTATCAATTCACAGTGATGGAAACAAAGAAGGGGGCACCGGGATCTTTCTGTGTGGAGTCTCCATGTTCTCTCTGTGCAGTGTGGGTTCTCTCTGGGTTCTCCGGCTTCCTCCCGTACAGTCCAAAAACATGCTGAGGTTAATTGGTGATTCTAAATGGAATTGTGAATGTGAGTGTGCTTGGTTGTCTGTCTCTAAGTGTAGCCCTGTGATAGACTGGTGACCTGTCCAGGGTGTCCCCTGCCTTCACCCTGAGTCAGCTGGGATAGACTCCAGCCCCCCCATGACCCTAGAGATAATGGATGGATGGATGGATGAAAACAAAGAATAACGCAGCTCATCTGAATTTTTCGATGAAACAAATGATCAAAAATCATCTCCTTCTTTACCACCAAAAATGCCGACAAATCTAGTCCTTTCAACGAACCTACCAAAATTTTGAAATGTTGATGTTTAAGGAGAAGAACCTGCCCCCTCTAGCTTTTCTGTTATACCCATTATTCAACTGGACTGTCAGTCTGTGCAGATACTTTACATCTGACATAATGTAATCATAGAACAAGTGTGACCTTTTCAGGTGGCTAGATATCATAAAGCTGTTGATGAGGGACTGAATCACTAGTCGCTAATATTTTGTGTGACCTTTCTGCATACATTAGCCAGTGGAGTGTTGATGGGGGACCACAGGGAGCATCTCCATGTGAATCCACACCATTAATGTCTAATGTGCTTCGGAAGAGACGGTTAATAAAAAGGATGAATACAGAGTCACTGCATGCAGAATTATTTTAACTATAATTTTCATAGCTAGCACACGGAAAGAGATGTTTAAAATGCGACAAGGTCAATACCCATACCCAACCGGGGACTTGTGGCAGTTCAGGTTGGATTTATCGTTATTTATTAAACCGTTTCCCAATATTTCAAAGATTTTTTTAATCCAATAACTGATAGAAATTTAAGATATATAGCGTATCTTCACTCACATACCACCTCCTGTGCAAACTGGAGTCGTCTTTACTTTACTGTACTCCAGGTCCCTCTGTTGACAAATCAACAGAAGTAATACTGAGATGAAGGACGTGTCAGAAACTGTATTGTCTATTAGCTGTAGTACCTGGTGCAGGCAGCCACTTGGACCACCGATAGTTCCTTGTTGGCAAGCAGACAGCACTGTGAGAGTTTAGTGAGGAAAGGGCCACCATGAGAAAGTCTCTTGTGACACTTAATGACTAACGACTAGAGCTTTTTTTTTTGTTGGTGAATTGAAATATGTCAAAACAGCATCGCTGTAGCCTAGTGGCTGATAAGCTACGGCATTAGCGTGGCTTATGTCATGTGGTTATATTCAAAGCGGCTGTATTAGGACACCAAGTGATTTCCGTTCAGTTTATTTTGCGTTGTCGATTACTGGTTGATTATTCTGCTGTTTGTCAGTGAGGCATTTGTTTGAAATGTGCATCTAGTAAGTGGTGGCAGCAGGTCCCTTGAATCACTTCTTTGAGTGTCTAAGCATAAATGACATTGAATACAGTTAAATTAAAAACCTTTTATTGTGTCAGTAAATGGTTTATTGGCGTATATTCATAATGAAAACTCATCATGGTCATAAATGATTGTTGGTAGTTCAAAAAGCTCAGTTTTTAATGACTTTAAATGGTATTTAATGCACACTTAGTACACTCTTGTAAAACATATTAAGGTTATTGGGTCTGGAGGATATATTTATCATTTACAAACAGATCTGCAAATTTCTCATTTTCACACGATTGTTATATGTAGCTCATACATTGCTTACAAATGTATGAGCTGCTTTTGCATGATACAGATCTTAGTTCTGATCAATGAGGAACTTGCTTCATATATAAACAAATAGTGACATCTCCACACCAGAGGGCAGGAATAATTAACGAAATCGTAAACCATAAGTCTGTGATTCACATTAACCAGGGACCATCTCTACCTCCAGTCATTTCCTGACATATCCTGACAATGTAAAGGCGTACTCCATCTCCCACGCATTACCAACACTGTGTTCTTGAAATAGCAAAACCATTACTACAATTTGACCGGCAGATACCAATGAGTTCGTGTGATGTATTTTCTTCAATGAACCTCTAAATTGCCACCGATTTCACCCGCGAGTTACCGGTATTGTACTGTGTGACCATCAGCTCATTTTAGCTTTATGACCAGGAGCCAGTCGTTAATAACAGCGCCCCTGGGACTCCAGTCTGCAACCAAGTCACACTAACATATCTGAAGCATTGACCCAACAGAGTGTGTAGACGAGGAAAGAATATAAGCCAAGGCTCAAAGATGGCTGTAGGTCACCAGAACACCCATGAATAACAAAACACGATCCCAGTCAGCTTTATGTGAGACTGGTTAGAGAACCAAGGTGAGCGTTGATTCCTGAAGCTACAAGGAGCAATGTTGGGTTCAAAAGTACATCCCCAGTAGGACAGCTATCTGTTGTCAACCATGCAGGCTGGACGGGGGATTCAATGGGATTTTTTCCCTATTTTTGAAAGCAACAGCAACTAAATGTGTCTTAAGAATTTTCTGACACACCTGTACTTCAGATCCACTACAAAGACTCAGTTATGTAATCACAGAGGTCTGCAGCAGCAAGCATGAGAACACTGGCTCAAAATAAACCTACAGTACACAAGGTGTAATATAACCCTAAAACTCTGTCTTAGTTAGCTTTATAGGGGTAAAAGAGCCAAAGAGACCACTGATCCTCAGGCTTGTTATGGTGTTTGGTACATGTGGGCAAAACCTGGTCCCAACTGACAAGCATCTCTTAGTCACCACATGGGTTAAGCGTAAGTTTCAAAAGGCTACTGCATAAATTTTAGTTCCATTTTCGTCTTGTTTCTTTTTTCCTTTTGTCCTCAAACCCACACAGTTTGCCCATCACAAGCCCCTGCATGCTTGTTCCTGATGTAACTACAGCGTATTCATCTTGGGTCCATGTGGACACGTTAACCTGGCTGGACTGTGACTCAGTTATCCGTTGTTCAGATGCTGTGAGACAGCTGCTGGGTCCTGCCAAGCTTTTGATGTGTTGTAAAGAGGAAGTAAATGAAGAGCAGGCTCTAAATGATGAGTCATCGGAGCAGAACGCTGCTGTCTTTGTATCTTCTCTTGTTTTCAGTTTGTATGCTGTAGTAGAAAGTGGCACAGCACCCAATGTGGCAGCCAGGCCGAGTGTATTTAATGGAGTGTATTACCTTGCATTGAATGACCAGAGCTGTGAGGATGGTTGAGCTCTCCGTGCCCTCTGGCTTCTCCGCTGTCTGTCTGGCTCCTGCTTCGCTGTTGTCGTCCTCCTCGTCCGACCGAAGGCTCCTCTCGCTCTCCTCCAGAGACTCCCTCTCCTCTGTGGAGTCGTCGGCCGTGCTCTCGCTCCTCTCCTCTGCGTCCGTGGGTCCGTCCTTGGTGTCGGCCAGCGGGGATCGAACCCTGGCGCTGGGGTCCCTCGCCTCGCCTCGCAGCCGCGGGATGTTTCCCTCCAGCAGGCGGCGCTGGACGATGCTGTGAGGTTGCTAGAAGGAGAGACAGAAGAGAAATGGATCTTAGATGGCAGGTTTCCTCAAATGAGATGTGGGATTTTACATGTAGTTTACTGCAGAGTTTATGAAGACCAATACTGACGCTTCCATCTCCCAAGTTTTTAAGAGTTAAACACAAACAGTAGATGTTAGCATATATAACCAGATAGGTATACGTATAGAAACCTGCTCAATCAGTTTGCATGTACATGTGACAAAAAATTAATCCTGCAATCATGATGTTAACAGAACGTAAGTTATCTTTCTGACAGCAGACTCACGTTATTCTAAAGGGTGGAAAAAACATGAAACATTAAAGACCCCCTCCAGTGAAAACTAGTTTTCCTACTTTGTGACTGGGTTCATATGGAGGGGCTTATCGGTGAGAAGACCCATCATGAGTGAAATAAGAAGTCGGCGCTATGTTTGAGTATCTCCACTTTGAAACTGCAGTGTACCAATACAGCCTCAAAATCACAGATTCACACATCTGGGATTTCATACATAAGGAACCTAAGGAACCAATCCTGTCAGCTTTGTGTTTCCTCGGTCCTCATTGTTCTTTTTTAAAAATGATTCTTTCTGGCCTTTTTTAGTAAGGATAGTGAGAGAGCGAGACAGGAAAGTGGGGAGAAGACCTGCAGCAAATGGTCATGAGCAGGACTCGAGCCCATGACTGCTGCATCAGGGCCTATAGCTCCTGTTTATGGGTCGCCTGCTCAACTAGTGGAGCTATAGGGGCGCCCCTATCGTTATTCTTCTTTAGAATTGGTTCTAACTGGCTGAATTACTCCCATATTACAACGACTACTAACATTTGCAGTTAAAAGTAATTTACAGCATTTGAACAGAGTCATAGGTGAGCTGGTGTGCTTGAGGGGGTGGATGTAGAGCGAGGCAGGGGCTTCGTAGAGCAGTACATTTTAATGCCGAGCTCACACGACAGAAATCCTCACAGATTATGAAAACTGCCTGCATCATGCACATAAGCAGAAACTTCACAGTATTCTTCTCGCTAATCTGACACATGCACATGCTGCAGGATTTCAAAATAATGGCACATCACACTCTACAGGATATTATAAAGATGATCATGCCAGAGGCAGCAGATCACCACCTCTCACGATCTCATGGAGAAACAGATGTAAACAAAATGGAGACCAGTGCACCAACTTGCTGTGAAACGAATAATGCTTTGCAGTGCGAAAAACACAAAAACAGAAGGTAAAAAGATGAGCCTGAATGAGAAGATGGTTGAGGAGATGTGGTAAATTGTGAGAACTGGAGGTGAGATTTCAACTATCAGTTTTAATATCTGTGGCTACTTTAGCCTCACGGGCTGGAGGGCTTAGTGTTGCTTGGCAACAGTGTCCACTGCTCCGGACATTAGCTTGATAAACATAACCATCCCGCTAAACCATTTTAGGGCACAGAGGGATTGTTTTCATTCAACCAAATCTTCTAAATTGTGATACATGGAGATAAGCTTTTATTGATTTAATCTTATTTGAGTAACTCAAATGTGCTAGTGTCTGCTGGTTCATCCTGGTTTTCATTGTAAAAATGTAAATACTTATGTAGTGTTATCTCAACAGATCCACTGTGATGAAGGATCCATTTAATCTTAGAAAAGAAAAAAAAGAGGATGTTATTGTGTTAAAGAAACATTCTGTGTATTAAAAGATCATTATATTAACCACAACAAAACATATTCCTACAGGTTTGGGTTGATTCTGATTACTATGTTTTATTAAAAGAAACTCAAACTGCAAAAAAAAAGCAATAAAATCAATCTAACGTTATGAGGTTATCTACACAGTGAGTTTTAATTTGAAGGAAAAGATTGACTTTATTAAATCTTACTTGAAGATAAGCGCTGCAGTAGTTCCTAAACTGGGTCAGCGCTCAGCAGTATCAGAAGAGATTTCTGTTCAGCTGATTCTTCGGGGCTCTGCACTGAATGTTGGTACATACAGTATGATGTCGTTTGTAATGTACTGTACAAACGGTTGTAATGTAATGTAAGCGGTGGCAAAAACAGGCCTATTTCCTGCTCTGACAAACAGCGAGAGGAGGCAGAGGTGTGAAGGTGCTGATGTGTGAACTTATATATGAGGTGTTGTTCAGTTAGAAACCTGAAATACAAGCTCTGATTTCTCCTCATGCCTTCAGAATACTGTCAAATAAATCTTTTTTTTTCTCCACAGTTTGTTCCTCATGTATAGTCCACGTGCAGGTTTTACAGACTGTCTGGCACATTTATTATTAAAACAGAATCAGGGAGTTTTAGATGACAACCTGCAAAATACGGCGTAATTCTCCTCAGTTAAAAATACAGATGATAGATACCGTGTAATATTTGGTGGATCACGGTGTATTTTAACTCATGCATGTAGGCACAAGCAAAATTAGGGAACAAAGGGTGAACAATCTGGTAAAGAATTTATAGCGTTGTTTGTTTTTTAAGAAGTGAAAAACCTTTTTTTTTTTTTTTTTAACCTTGTTATTATGCCCATATGGTGTGTTTTTTTAAATCTTTTTATATGATAGATCTGCACATTGTGATCCAACAGTGTTACATTTAAGCCATTTTAAAGCAGGGAGAGATTATTTTCATGTAAATAATGTAATAAATGTGCAACTTTGACACACAGGGATGAGTTTTTAGGGGTTTAATCAATGACTGGAAGAAGACTACAATTATACGTAACAATCTGATGTTTGGGGAGAACATAAAAAAAACATGTAACGTAACTATTTGACCATTTTCCAATATCTAGTCTAACTTTATGTGGTACATCCTTGAGCGATGCACACAGGTAATAAATGAGCATCAGTGTTTCCTGGTGTCTGTAGAGCTTGTTTGCTTGCTGAGGGATTTCGTTGTCCACAGCCGTTTGCTATGGTTTTGGATGCAAGTTGAAAGTTTCTGTTCTTTCCAGATGAGTCACAGAAACAAACTTTTAAGCCAGAAGTTATCACAGTGCAGCAAGTGGAAGCCATTTAACTGTGGAATACAGACTTAACCTAGCAGAGCACTGACTGTGGCATTTCAGAGCCTCCTCCTCCTTTTTTCCCCCCAACATGAAATCAGACAGGCAGATTTATTTAAATTGCTAACTTTAACCTTGGTGAAAAAGCAAACCGCTATCCAGACCAGCTGAAAGGAAGGTCACATTATCATGTCATGAAAGCCAATTGGGGGAGCATTTATTGAGGTCATCACTGTCAGCAGATACAAAAGACTTTCTGCAAGGGGCTTTTCTTTGCAACACAAACATGGTGGCCACATTTTTTGTCGACACCCTTTTTCTGTGGTCTTTAACAGACAAAAGCAGTTTTACACCCACAACACACAACACTTACAGTGGAATAAAAGTGTTCTTTTCGTCTACACAAACAGTTTTACGGTAAAGATTCAATGCTATTTTGATCTTGATCAGGTTTCTGCCGTTTCAAAACAACAAACAGCGACTGGCTGTTCTTTCTGCATCATATAAGAAGTAAATTGTATTTCAGCTGCCTGTTCCTCTGTAATCACATTGCTGTTCTTCCAGTACAGAGTCTGAGTACAGACTTTCAGACAGCACGCTTTGAAAAGAGCAGGTCACCCAACACCAGCAGAGTCGCTGCATTAATAAAACACCGAGGCATTTGCTTTCCTTTCAAGGCTTTCTGAACACTTTAATCACCACGATATGTTCAAATAAATGAACAAGGATGAAGACATAAAATAAAACATTTCATTAGTTTTTATGCTTACTATAAAATGGGCCAAGCCTTGGAAACTGTAAACTTAATTTCATTTAGAACAAGTGGATTCTGAGTTAAATATTATAAATTTTGTCAGTCAAAATGTAAATAGCGTGTTATTCTTTCTGTGTAAACATACATATATATAGATAGAGACAGAAAAAAAATAGGCCAAATTCAAGAGAAACTGAACTCTGCAGTATTTCTCATAATGACCAAAAGTCTCAAACAAACTGTAAACAAAAAATGGTCACAGAAAGGCAAATGGACCTCAGATATTTAAATGTACTATCGTCATTTCTATCCTCAAACACATCAGAGCAGGTTAACAGTGTTTTGTGTCAGGTCTGCACGTTTGTCTCACAATATAACAAAAAATAAGAATCAAATTACAGTATCTTGTCCAGATCTTTAATGAACTCATTAAATAGTTTGATTTTTTTTAAATTGATATGATCATAGTTGAACATTTACATATTAAACAATCACTTAAAGAAGTACAGAAGAGCAGTTTTAGGAGACAAATAGACAAAACACAAGACTACAATTAAAATAGAATAATGGACAATACTAAATTAGATTTCTGAAGGCTTAATAGGTTTCAGTTGGCATAGGAGCCAATTTCCGTATCCACTGGGAAATTAATCCTAACAATTTGCAATAAAACTTTACACATTTTCTGCCAAAAACTATTTTGTGTGAAGACCAGGTGCACTGTAATACTGCCTTCCTCTAAGCCACATCTCATTCAGAGCGGCTGAGAGATTAGAGTGTATTTATGTAGCTAAGACGGAGTGATGGAAATTTAGTGCAAGAAAAAAAGCCTGTATGTTCAATTCAGAGGAGATGTAACTCTGTTTCTACACAAGTCACTCTGTAGTTTCTCATCCAGTTTCACTCACAAATCTCTCCCATTGTGTCCCAGTTTTATCAGACTGAGACTTTGCTGGATACGACAGAAGAGCTTTGTCTGTTCTGGATATAGGTTTATAGGTTTATACAGCAATGCTCCTCATCTGTTCATTTAGTTTGAATG